CGACAGCACATGGTCCGCCCGACACAGTTGGTGAGCCAGCTCCTCAAAGGACATGGGCGCGGTGGCCGTGCTATCTAGACCAGGGTCTAGCCACGTTGATGGGCTGGAAGCTCATCAACCAGCAAAATGCTTGCTGGCTCAATGCCACCATGGTCTCCTTCCTATGGGCCCAGCTCCAATGTCGCGATCTGCATTGGCAAGATCTTGGAGTTGGCACGGCACTGTTTCAATCACTTTGCAGCCGGGCCAGCAACTCCCTTGACCTTCTCCGAGATCAGGCCACGCAGGCTCTGCTTCATGGCTGGCAGTGTGAAGGGCAACAGGAACTGCTCTCCTTCACCAGTCACTTTTTGGGATGGTGTCAACCACGCCTTGTGGACAACACCTGGGAACGCAAATTGGATGAAGAGGCACAGATCAAATCCACGACCAAGGGGGAAAGCTTGGTCCAATCATTTTGACGCCGGCTGCCCAAGACAAAAAGATCCTGCCCTTGCAAGACTGTGTGGATGAGTGGCATACACAGTATGGCATGGTCACAGCCTTGCATCACGTTCAAACATGTGTGGTACTCTACATCGAAAAGTCTCAATTTTCGCCCTTAGGTGTTGCCGCCAAAGCTGAGTGGCGCTTGCAGCTGCCGCCCAATGGAGTCATTTGGCTCCCTCGCTTTCGTGAGGCAGGTGACTTGGCCATCGGTCTCCAGCATGATCGTGCACTCAGGCTCACATGAGGCTGGCCACTATCGTGCCTGCTGCCAGGGACACAATGGGTGGGTCTCCTTTCAGGACAACTGGGAAGCACGGCAAGATCATGCCCTCCATCTGGATCAGGGCCAGGACATCCTGCTGGTCTGGCTTGTCGATGCCCACAGGTACTTGACCTGTCCTCCAGCTGCCACGCCCTCGGCACTCATGAAGGATGAACTCATCACCCATGCTGTCAGGTGCTATGCCAATGCCAACTATGGGCTCTTCCAGGCGTGGGACTCCTTCCTGTCGAGGCTTCTGCGCGCGACCTGTCCGGTGTGTGGGATCCCGGTGATGAGCGTCGACCTCCTTGAGGAGCATGCCACAGCCTACCACTGGGAGTTGTGGCAACTTGGCATGCAACATCTGAATGCCACATGGCCGCAATGGACTGATGAAGTGCTGCCGTGTGTGTGGTGTGTTGGTTCCCTGAACCTTGAAAAGGGACCCGTTCAGCTCCAACCACATCGATGTCAGATGCTGGCGGCGCTCGGCCTCGCGATAGCATTCCATGCACGCGAGCTGGAACCTATGGGCTCGATCTTTGATCTTCGGTTGCGGCCCAGTGAGCGCATCCAATGGGCACTGGCTGACAGCACGGCTCTGAGTGAAGCCCTACAGGAGGCGGCTGACCCGGCTTTGTATGCAGCTGCTGGCGAAAGCGCGGCCGCTTTTGGCGCTGAGCTGCGGCAGCGCGGAGTGAGAGCTAGGAATGATGAGATCAGGGGTGACACAGATGAGACTGACACCCTTGGTCAGGGCCTAGCGGAGTTCTTAGCACAGCTCGACTCTCGCTGGCCTGAGTAGGAAGTTTTTAGAGCTCCAGAACGCAGGAGCGGGCCCTAGCCAACGGCCGTCCAGAGGAGACGTGGCCCACGCGAGCGTCGACATGATGCTGCGACTGAAACGAAAAAAACCTTTTGTCCTCCTCTTGTTCTCCTCTAGTCCTCCTCTTGTCATCCTCTTGCCCTCCCCTTGTCCTCCTCCTGTCCTCTTGTCTTCCTCTTGTCCTTCTCTTGTCCTCCTCTTGTCTTCCTCTTGTCCTCCTCTTGTCCTCCTATTGTCGTCCTCTTGTCCTTCTCTTGTCCTCCTTGTCCTCCTGTTGTCCTCCTCTGGTCCTTCTCTTGTCCTCCTCTTGTCCTCCTCTTGTCCTCCTCTGGTCCTCCTCTTGTCCTCCTCTTGTCCTTCTCTTGTCCTCCTCTTGTCCTCCTCTTGTCCTTCTCTTGTCGTTCTCTTGTCCTCCTCTTGTCATCCTCTTGTCCTCCTCTTGTCCTTCTCTTGTGTCCTCTCCTCTTGTCCTCCTCTTGTCCTTCTCTTGTGTCCTCTTGTCCTCCTCTGGAACTAGTGCTTTCAAACTGTTTTTGTTTAGGCGCAGCTCCCACAGCGGTTAGGATGTAGAAGAGCGTACTTGCAGGCGTCTCCACCAACATTGGAATTCACGGAGTTGACGACGTCAAAAAAATAGAAAACGCTCACACTGTCTGGGGTCGAATTGCGGTAAAGTTTCTCGCGCGTGCCTGGCTCACATGGTGTAGTCAAGGTGATCGTTCAATCCTCCTCGCTTTCCGTCGAGCTGAAGTGACGTCTGTATCTCCAACAGTTTTTCATCCGATACCCCCTTCTAGGTTCGAGCTTGTAGATCTTCATATCCTTGTTGATTCGGACTCACCACTTTCACTGCTGTGATGTGTATCTAATTAATCGCGATTGCTTGCGCATGATGTTGTTGCCCTTGCTCTGGGTTGCTGCTCACTCCACGATCACGTCCGGGAACCTTGTTCTGTAATACCAATCTTCCTCATTGCCATCCAATGCGTGCGTGGCCTGCTCACCTGAAGCCATGGAAGGTTGTTAATTGTTCCGATCTGGCTCACTCGACGTCTGGCTATCGGGCGAAAGATCGGTCAATTCTCTGCAAAAGTCATACGCTTGTTCCCGGACTGTTTCCTTTGAACTTTGTTTCGCTTTCCAACATCACCAACTGACACCCTAAAATCCGTCGTCTATCCATCTACTTTCGCTCGGCGTTTGTCATTGTACTGCCACACCTCCTGAGTCTATTGGTGCAGTGGAAACCAAAAGATGAACCATTCCAGCCGGGACTGTTCACTGCGGCACTGCGGCCTTTGAACACGAAATGCTTGCCCCAATTCCAGGGTTCTGCGAATCACATGCAATTTCTTCTGGAATCTTTGTCGGCATCTCGGGGCCCAGTTCAAGTTCTGACTTTGCCAGTTCTGTATGGGATCGCTTCCGGCCCCGCCTTGCAAAATACCCGTCAATTTGGCGCCAATGCTCAAACGCAAAATTGAACCACAAAGCAAAAGCGACAAGAACCTAGATTGTCAGAAACACTTGACGTCGACTGTCCTCTTCTGACTACTCCTGCCAGGCAAACTGCCGCCTAGCACCTGCAACATGCACAAAGCACAGCAACTGCCACGAACAGTGACTACGCCACAGCTTGACATGTTTGCACCTCGCCACACGTTCGGAATGATTTTGGCATCGTTACTTCACTCAAGACCCTCAAAATCTCAACTTTGCCAGGCAAGGGCTTCCAGAGCCAATCCTGATGGCACAGCGACACTCAACACCTCCAAAAGACCTCCTCCAAAAGACCACCCTCAAACGCGGGCGACGTGAAGCGCTGACCTCGCAAAACACTGTACCTGCGCAGCAAGATCCGCTTCATGCGAATCATCCAAGACCTCCTCCAACGGTTCCGCCAACGGGAGGGCTTTTGGTTCAAATAGAGATGGTTGCGGACGGTTGCGAAAATGAAAGCAACATCACCAGATCTAAACGAAAGCCCTTCGCTACGTATTCGGGAAAATGAGATGAGGGATAAAGGCAAGGGGTCCATTCAAAGGACCCTTACCTTCTCTTTCTCACCTCTTATTTCTTCGTTATTCGCTTTGGTTGTTGGCACATGTGGCATCCTCTAGAGGTCAGCGCTCAATTGGAGCAGAGGGTCACTCGGGCATGACATCCATTGCTTCTCTAATGCCCAGTTTTCTCGTTTGCAACTTTGAACAGCTACAGTAGTCCACTCAAAGACATCTTAGTGCCTTGTCAGCTTCTCAAAACATGTCCCTCCCAAAGCAGAAAAGTGCCTTCGCTTGCATCCGCTGTGTTAAATTCTCGCAGCACTTCCGGACAAGTTGATCTCGATAGTTGCAAGCAACCTCCGTTGGCAAAGCAGCTGAGGATCTCTTGAAGACAGTGTGGTTTTGTTGGAATGTCTTTTGGGAGTCTAAAGACATCAGGAGACGGAAGCAAGATGTTGTCTTCCGCGTGTTTGATCGTCGCAATTGAGCCTGTCTGGTCAGCGCGAAGGAGGCTGCAGCACGCCTCCATGCCGCCTCTGCTTGAACAGCAATCAATTGAAAGCCCTGAAATCGAACAAAGCCTTCACAAACCGTCTGTAGTTGCCTGAATGCGGGTTGCACAGTGATCTTGGATCTGCCGTTCTGCAACGTCTTCTGAGAGCTGTTGCTGCGCTGTTCGCACCAAGCTGAAGAGAGACCTGCAGTAAAAACTTTGTCTTGAACTGAACAAGGAATAGAACCTGGTCCAACTACCTCTGCCTCCAACATTGAACCTCACCCCATCTTCCATTCCATTTCAACATGTCTGACATTGTCTGACCTCAGGTTGTCCTTTGTTCTATTTGCCGAGATGCGACCCAAAGCTGCCCCGAGACACCATTTCGGTGCCCAGCAGCGACAGGCCTTCTGCCGACCATTGCTGTGGACCGGCTTTGAGCTTTTGTTGGAGTGAGAAATCAAAAAGCCTCAATCGAACTTTGGCTTTAGGCCAGACCCCAAGAACACACTGAAACAGTCTCATACCATGAGGATCCTAAGCGTCAAGACAAAAGACGTGTCGTGCAGCACGCTCACCTGTCTTGACTCAAAGTTATTCATTCTCAATACTTGCTTCTATGTGGATGTCATCCGGTAGTGTGCGTGCTTCTGTAGGCTGTCCAAACGGCGTCAGGAAGATGTCTGGAGTGTTGTCTTCTAGATCCTAAAGCAAGTTCAATATCAGCTGCAACTTTGAAGAATGCTTGAAACATGACGCAAATGTGGCGAGATGCTTTGTGATCAGGTGTCTGCAAAAATCTTGAGAAACATCGAAACATGTTGATTTGTCCAAGCAACGAGGACTGCAAGAGCTAGAAGCTATCAAAATTTACCGCTTTGCACAAGTGCTGCTGAAATAGGCTTTGGCTCAGTGTCTTTTTGCTTAAGGAGACTTCAGGCCACCAGTCCTGCTGCTAGAGGTGCATCAGTGCTATTTGAGATTCAAAAGAACCCTAAAAGGTTCCGCCAGCAGCTCTAGTAGTCTAGAAAGGCCGTCCTGATATTGGTCAAAAGAGGATTCTCCCCCTCATGCTCTACCAAAGGTCGTAGGAAGTCTTAGCAGTGAACATCCAGATGGAGAGAACTGAAATCAGGGTTTCTGATTTCTGAGTCCCAGGCTCATGATCTTGTTTCTTCTTGGGACCAGTGCAACATTGGAGACGCCCTGCAAAGCAAATCAAATCGTGACAGTCATATGCGTCATGAGTCATGACTCTCATGAGATCCCATTGGTTGAACCATATTGGAGAACCTTGCTTTGAAAGCGCATTCAATGCTTCATGTTTCTATCAGTTTGGTGCTGGCAGTCTCTCCCTCCTCGTCATCCTTGGCCCCCTTGAAAAGACCTCCCACACTGACCCGGTTGGCACCTTCACAACTTCGTAGGCACCCGCTGCTGCAATGGGTGCTGGAGCCCGCTTTGTGAGAGACAGCAGAAGATTCAGCCTGGACATGGCAGCGTCAGCTTTCGCCGATCTCAAAGATGTTCCACTGTTCCACTCATATAAGGGCGCTGCACTGTGAGCTGGTCCATTGGGTCCGCTCCCTGATAATCAAAATTTGCTGAACAAAAGCTGTCTTTGGTGTTCCAAGATATGAGCTGAGTTGTCGAGAATCTTGAGGCAGGCTTGAGCAGACCCTGAGCCAATCAAACATGCTAAACTAGAACAGAAAAATGCTGTCTGAGCGATCTTCCTTGTTCAATGATAGCAGGAAGCATTGTATCTGGCGACATGCGAGCAAGCTCCAGAAGTATCTGGCAGCTGGGCAAGAGAAAGTGGTTGGCGGGCTAGCAAAACAGCAAATGACCTCTGGAATAACTCAGGTAGATTGTCAGGCAACCAAAGCAGGTCAATGTTTGCAGCCATTGTCCACCTCGAGTGCTGTAGCATCTTCACCTTCATTGGCGACCTTGCCTGAGAAAGTGAAAAGTCAAGGAATTTATACTTTCCCTACAATTGAGTATGTCAGAAAACGCGAGATGAACAGAGTCCCAGCAACCCTACAATCTCCAAGTGCTGTGGACAAGTAAAATAGGTAGAAAGCTCGGATTGGAGTTCTCCAAATATCCAGCGTGTGGTACCCATGCAAAACGGTTCCGAGCTTGTGGCAAAGCACTGCAACTGCTCCAGCCTGGCAATCAGAATCACAAAGAAAATTACAAAGCTTAAGCCAGCACACCTCAACCACAAAAGTAGGTGGGCATCGAGTCAAGGTGCACCTGTTATCACGATCCCAAGGGCTGAGAAGGACAAAGGAAACTTGCACAATGCCATGGCAGGAAGCGGCACCACAGGCCCAGGCACCCCCCGATCATCAATGAAAGCAGCGTGTCAAGTGCAACCATGCGTAGGTCTTCACTCTCCTCCTGCTCAATGTTGCTGAGGATTCCTCCATGTCCAGACAAAGCACTGCCCGCTTGTGAATCATGTGAAAAGCTCAGCAACAATGCAAGCATTACATGCTCGTTGCGAGATGTCTTTCTGACCACAACCAGAGCAAGCTGCTGCGAGAGCAACCTTTTGCCATCTGTTCGCGTGAAACAAGACTCAAACAATCCTTGATCGTACATTGTACTGCACTGATGGGTATAAAAGCCTCACACTCATCCAAGACGAGCTAAAAAGGACCCATGTTTTGAAAGAGGTACAGCACCTCAAGCTGGAGCAGGGTCCAAGAGATTTCGCAAACTCATCACCTTCACGGTTTGTACGGTTTGCTTCTGGGGCTTGGACAACGGGTCTCGTTGGCCTCGGCTTCTGCCAAGCTGACTTTGAAGAGTGAGCGATGCCCAGGAAAGGATTGAGCCTGTCAGAATTGCAAAGGTTAAAAGGGTGCTGCCCGAAGCTAATGCTGTGCTTTTGTCATGTTTGTCTGCACCCTCAGCAAGAATTTTGCTTCCAAATCTCTTGCATCACTTTGAATGGTGAAACGTGTAGCTTCGTGCCACAGCAGATTGTCAATCAAGCACAAACATAAAGTGTGCTCTTCCCGCGGAGTTGTGCAAGAATGTACGTTCAACTCCATGACCGACTTGTACAGGTCCCTAGTTCACTTAAAAGCCTGTGGTGGGCAAAGTACTGGGTCATCAAAGTTACCCAGTGACGGGCACATTGTCTCTCTCACACTGTAGTGACACCTGCTAACTTCGATTCAGAAAATGATTCCTCTTCATTGTCAGAGTCTTCATCCTCATCTTCGTCGTCAGACTCCTCCGCCCCCTCGTCCTTCCCCTCGTCCTTCCCCTCTTCGTCATCTTCCTCATCTTGGTCATCATCTTCGTCTTCTTCGTCTTCCATGTCCACAGCGTCTTTGAGCGCTTCTACCTGCACAGTTTGTGTCAGCTGTGTGGCTGTTGCACAGAACACATACATATGATGTTGGGTCTCAACGTCTTCAGTATAGTGTAATTCTTTCAGGATTGCATTCCCTTGCATGACTGCTCCCCACATGGATTTATACATCGGACATGGGCGGCACCTTGTCCATGCAAAGCAACAGTTCTTCTACTTCTGGCTTTGAAAACTTGTCGTCATGGTCTTCGTCAAACTCCAGGAAAGCAGCACGATGTTGCTCCGTCACATCCGCATCCTGATTAATTCAAGCACTCATTTGCACTGCCATTAGTCGTCTTAAGTTTGCCTCGCCTCTCCGTCTTCATCAAGGAAGCGGTACCAGGCCCACGACCTTACCCACATGACACAGTACACGAAGTGAACCTCTCGAGCTCCTAGTAGCTTCTTGCTCCTAGTAGTATGGCCAGGAGCCCCTAGTAGGGTCCTTGCTCCTACTAGCGATGCCCTTTGCTCCTAGTAGCGGTCCTGGGTTGGCGACTCAGTTCTGTTCAAGGCACCATCCCTGTCGGATGCACGGAGCGGTGCACCGAGCCAGAGAGGACACTGAGGCTACGCAAAACACCCCAGGCACCCCACCCGTCATGGTCAAAGTTGGCAAACGTAGCTTCAAGTTCGCGCTGTCTCTCAGCATCTGCCTTTCAAACTGTCAGAAGAATGGCTATCAGTGATCAGTATGAATCTATATAGCTTCCAGCCTGGCTTTTGCCCAACAAATCTCTCACAAACATCTCCGAAGAGCCATAATCCTCGTCAACTCACCGCACTGAAAGCTCAAGCTGGCGCAGTTTGCAGTTTCAGGCGTGTTTCTGGCACGTTCAATTGCTCCTGTGCCCTCACTGTCAAGAAAATCAGCACTACCTGCAGAGCGACAAGCACTCTTGCAAAGTGACGCGAAATGAGCAACCATCTCTCTAAATGCATGTTTCAATAGGTACATTGGCATTGGTCTTGAAAGCAAGAATGTTGCCGAGGTTTGAACCCACATGGCACTAGGTCAAGCCCTCTCGGGCCAAAAAGGCCCATGCTACTGCCGACATCCCTCGAGCCCAGCTGAGGACATGCTTCTCGTTTCTTGTCAACGCAATACTCGGACTTGGCGTATGCTTCCGTTCAGCAAAATCAACGAAGTTTCAATCCAACCATCACATCACGATGGTTCTATGCGTCTGAAACGATCCGCAAGGCATCTCAGGGAATACGAAATACAAATGAATACGATATACAAAAAATTGTCCAGAATTGCAGCCTGTCGATTTGTCAGGACCACACGGGCTGCGGTGGGGTGACATTCCAGCAAGCCGAAGGGGAGTGCAGACCTAGTTTGGAAAGGCATCTCTTGCATGCAAGAATATGCAGTTCTTTTTTGCAAACACAGAACATGCCGCCATTCTGCATGAACGCTATTGGGAAGCAAACGCACTCTGGGCAGCAGGCTGGCCAGGAAACGCTCTGGGGCACATGACACGGCAACTTCGGACTCGACCTCGATAGATCCGAGTTGTGGTTGTGTAGTTATGCGACAATAAAACGACCAGTATAAGGGGCTTGCCAAACTTCAGGAAGTGCTCCTTTAGCTGTGCCTGCATCTTTGCCAAGTCAGTCCTGGCACGCAATTGTATTGTCTGACTACTTTCCCAATATGTTAAGTGTTTTCGTATGTTCTGCAGGTGGCAAAGTGGATTTGCTCCTGCCAGCCCAATCTCGAAGTGGGCCCACGTACACGCGAACCTCGTGTTCCAAGCTTGTTCAGTTGCTTAATGCGTCCAGTGCCGAATTAAGCCGACCAAAATAAACAGGTTCAGGTATGAACTGCTACTACTGTTCAAAACCTTGAGCAGTAGGCGAAACGGGGGAGGTCATTGAACGCCTTGTCGCGCTCAGCCTGCAAATGATTTCACACAATTCAAAGAATGAAAGCGGCGTGACATTGCTTCCAATCCAAAACATGCGCCTGCCTGCGAGCCAAACGTGACAGTGGTCGTTCCCAACCAACTTCCCGTCTCGGGCTGCAAATGAAAGTTCACCTCCCGAGATATAAACAGAAATGAACGTGCTCTTAAGCAAGTTCACCACTTGTTGCATGTGCAAGAATAAACAAATAAATAAAAGCATTCCCCATATTTTACAATACCCGAATCCTAAGCACACAAGATTGTAATGTTAATTGCTCACAATGTTCGGACTGCGACACAGCTGTTGTGCCTCTGCACAAGCGCCATGTGCGAAGAAAGCTCCGAGTTCCTGCCAGTGGGTGTGTGAAACGCCTCTGGTCAAACTCTCACAAAGATTTGATCAAATGCTTGGAATCAGCCTTGGATGTTGTCCCTTTCGGGATTTCACTGAGGAAGATCGTCTTTGGGAAGGACAAGAGCCTCAGCCAGGCTTGTGGAGAAGCGCCACTGTGGCTCAATGCAGATTGCGGGTGCACTTGGCGTTTTGGAAGATGGGTGCAGGGCTTTAGAGGCTTGGTCGTGGATGGATGAATGGAAGCCTCTGACAAATTTCAACATTATGTGACACAGCAATGTCAGCATGTCTGCCTCGTAAAGCGCCAGCTGCAGTGCCCACTGCGCATCCTGCACAGTGGTGACCAGCCGATTCTACTGTCTGTGAATAAATCAAAGCGCAACTAGAAATAACAGCCTGCCGCGGATCATGTGCCCCAGGGCGCACAGGCTGGAGGGTTGGCACCTCTTCTAGAAGGACAAATGCTGACACCTTTTGTCAAGAGACCACAAAACTACAGAAGACAAAGAGAAATGAACATGTTCACACCAAATAGTCTAGCACGTACTCGTGAGCTGGCAAATGGCTCTGGGCACTGCTCTTGAAGGCTTTGTACAACATTCTTTCCGTGTACCCGCATACAGACTACAGGCATAGTGCACGTGGCCAGTTTCCAAACGCTGCACCTGCCGCCTCATTAAAGTCACCAAGCTGTTGAGCTTATGTCTCCTTCGATGACTTCCTCCTCGAGTTGCACAAGCAAAGCGTGTTTATTAGTAACGTCTGTACATGTCTCATGTTGCTTGTTGGTTGAAAGTGCTCCAGCTGCGCAGGCTGAAGAGCCGAATATGACTAGACTCCTTCGACTGCAAAAATAAGGGCCGTGTCCACGATCTTTGCATGCCTCAGAATACTGGTGGGCGAGAATTGAGGCACCACTGGACAGGTCCCTTTATTTACAGTATGCAGTATCAGTCCAGTATCATTCTTTAGGTGTTTGTGCCTCAAAGTTTCATGGACTCATCAGGGTGAATCTATACTCTATACCTCAATCCCTTGAACCCCTTGCAACATCCACATTGCGGATCATGGTGGCTTGGATGGCCCGTGGCCCTAGCAAAACATCTAGGAAAGTATCGCTCGTAGCAAACTTCTGCACGGCGCCCGACAAATGTCCACAGAGCTGAGAACTGTCTCTTGGGGCACAAACTGAATCTTCAAAGCCCGCAAGTCCTGCTCTCCAGAGACCAAGCTTCGAAAAAATCAAACAGAAGTTCCCCAACTGTTCTGTCAAAGGTCAAACAGAAGTTCCCAAACTTGAGCAAGTCCTTGTGAAGCGAGTGTCCTTGTCAAGATTGATTGGATAGCATGCTGAATTCCAACTTTGAACTCCGAGAACAGCACCTACAAGGATGGTCTCGACGGAGATCAGATCCAGAACCTAGAGCATATGATCGTATGTGAGAGTCTAGTCATCGCCATGTTTCTTCAAGGTAACGCGCCATCATTTCTCAAACAGTATTCTGCGATTCGCCTCACGTTGCACTTGATCAAAAGGCAGAGCCTCAGATGAGACATTACAGTTTCACAGGCTACGACCATGTAATCGAAGAATTGCCAAGACTTTGGCTCCATTCTCAGGTAGAAGATGATGAGCCCTGGAATTGCAGCTTCTTCTTTTGTACATTTTGAGTGTTCTGAATGATTTGGCACAAGTCAGCTGTGGCCCGCACTCAACCCCTGATATTCGAGTTCTGTAGTCTAAAACCTGAGTTGAAAATCTTGCTGGCTCCATGACAGTTGCTTGCT